CACACACACACACATCAGATACACACGCACACATATCAGACACCCACCCACACTCACTCACTCACTCACACACACACACACACACACACACACATATCAGATACACACACACTCTCAGATACACACACACACACACATCAGATACACACGCACACATATCAGACACCCACACACACTCACTCACTCACTCACTCACTCACACACACACAGATTCTCAGACACACATATCAGATACACACACACTCTCAGATACACACACACACACACATCAGATACACACGCACACACATCAGATACACACGCACACACACAAACATCAGATACACACTCCCTCCCACACACACATCAGATATACACTCCCTCTCATACACACATCAGATACACACACTCCCTCTCACACACACACACACACACACAGATTCTCAGTGTAAGGGTGTTATCTTTATTGCAGGTGTGTCTGATAGATCCCGGATGTTTCCGTGACATTGATGAGCTGATCCGCTGTGAGACTAAAGGAAAGGAGACGCTGGAGGTGCTCAGTCTCAAAGATGTGGAGGAAGGAGACGAGAAACTAGAATAACCTCTCCATCTTCCCCTGCTCCTCAAACCAACACTTTAAACTATTGCTGACTCCTTTTAAATGGAGAGCCTTTTTTGATGAGTTACATCACGGTCTAAATATTAGCCGTTTATTCACAGCTGGGACAGGCTTCAGGAACAATATTAAATCTGGTAAACGCGTTTAAAAATAAAAAAAACATGTCCCCAAAAACAAAATTATGCTCAGTTGCAGTAATTTATATTCTGTGAAAATGAAATTAACTTTGTTTAAAACCAATCAAAGTAATGATAAAATTAATATACAGTGAGATTCTGTAAGAGTGCATTGTTTGCCACAATTAAATATTTGCTCTTTAAATAGTTAGTAATTGTATTATCTGTGCCTGCATTGATCAGTCTGTTAAGACATCTTTTATAATCCAAGCACACTTGAAAACTGTTCAAGAATTTTACTGTGCTATTTAAACAAGTGTGGACACCACTACAAGATGCACCTTTCTCTAGAAGCTCATCTGTGTGTCGGTGTGGACTTGGGGGAACTCAGGAAGTTTGATCTCAGTTGTAGGTTTAGCGTATCTCTGTAAAAGATACACCGGAGCAATGTCCAGACAGCATGTGTGAGAAAAGTATTCATTTGGCAAAACAGTAAAGGCTCCTTCACACCAGAAACAATAACTATACAAGGCATGATTATTATTCATCAGCTGGAAAAAAATCACTGTAGTTGTGGTCTGGATTCTGTGGAAGCCTGTTTCTGCCACTGAGTAAAAAAAGGTAGCTGCGACTTTTTATCTCACAATTCTGACTTTATTTATCAGAATTGTTTGTTTATATCTAGCAATTCTGAGAAAAAGAAGTCACACTTGTGAGATAAAAAGTCGCAATTACCTAGGGATGCTTCGATCAGGATTTTTGCAGCCGATACTGAGTACCGATTTCTTGTCATGGTGATCGGCCGATACCGATTCTGCTGCTTCAAGCTTTATATAGACGGTTTGATCGGGCACACACCTGGCCCGAAGTTAGCTTCCGGTCTGTGTTTGTTCATCAGTCTGGCTATGGTGCCGGCTACAAACGCAGTTAAAGTTAAGGTGATGAGTAGACTGAAGTTGGGCTCAGGTGGTTGTGCTGTGGGATGTGTTTCGCATACATTTATTTATGTGGTGCTCAACACAATATCAAAACTGACGGATTTTCCAAAAGGCTTTGTTGAATAAACATGAGCATGCTACTGCACGTTTAAAAATCAAAACGAGGCGCAGGTGTTTTTATATCACTGTATTTCTGAACGAAGACTATCTTTAGAAAATTTTCGATGCCATTTTCATTTAATCTTGCATGTTATATGCCTGATAAAGCAGCGTTTGTGAGCGCAGCGCTGCTGTGTGTACAGCCGTTACCTGGGAAGCCTCTGTTTCTCCCGCTTTAAAGCACCTCCTGCTGGCAGAGAATGAATTTGCATTTTCAGTAAGTCCGTCTGATTTACGCTGCAAACATATTTTGCTTTTCCAATATCCACGGGTTGGGTAATAAAAAATGCATTCTGATTATTTGCGGGTGGGTCGCGGGTGGATAAAATAAATCATAAATGAAGCAAATATTAACTAAATTTTTTGTAGTTTTGGCAGACGATTTTGTGTGTGTGTGTGTGTGTGTGTGTGTGTGTGTGTGTGTTCGTTTGCCTGATCGGGAAGCCGCAGTGACAGAAACGGTGACATTCCAGATCAAGTTTGAAAGGAGTAAAGCCTGTGTTAATACTATTAAGTAGGCTAATATGGCCAAAGATGTTCGTTTGCCTGATCGGGAAGTTGCAGTGACAGAAACGGTGACATTCCAGATCAAGTTTGAAAGGAGTAAAGCCTGTGTTAATGATACTGAGTAGGCTAATATGGCCAAAGAAGATATTTTGTTTTATAAATGTTCATTTAAAAGCAGCCCACGATCAGCGTATTATGTTACCGTTATCCCTTACGGCTCCGACGAGGTTTTGTTCCGTCCTCCACGCTGTGACAACTCACAGAAGACTATTTTAACTTCAGTGTGCTGTTAAAAATGAACCATCCATTCATCATATCATCATGCCAAACATACACGACAAATACCGAATTTTTCATTGTTTCTCGAATCGTCATAGCATTTCCACACCGGCGATGACATGACTGTGGCGCCAGATCATGTACGTCGTCACGTGTTGACGTCGTCACTTTGCGATCGGCCAAGTGTAGCGAGTACCGATCAAATCATAAAATGTGATTATCGGCCGATTGATCGGAGCAGCCCTACAATTACCTTGTTTGTTTTGTGTTTTATATTTTATTCAGTGGTGGAAATGTTACGGGCTTCCATAGGATTCTGTCTGCTATTCTTTAAAATTATAATTATAAAATTGTTATATTATATCTAATATAAACTTTTGTACAGAGTGGTTGTTTTTTTAAACTTACAAAAAAAAAAAAAAAAACTTTTTTACATTGTTTAATTGCAAAAAAATATAAATAAAAAGATACATAATTAACTCCATAAGTAACTATCAACAAGGGATAATAGTGCTGAACTACTGTTTTCAGTAGCGTGGCTGTGTTCAAAATAGTGCAGCTTTTGTAGAGAAAAAAGTAAAGTAAAAACACTGCATTCAGTGTCAGATTATATACCGTCATTTTTGAGCTCAAAGGTTTATTTTTTTATATCTTTTGTATTTGTATTTTATCTCGTTGAGTTTGTCTTTTCAGTTTTGGACATTAACATTTTTATTCAGTCAAAGTCCTGCATTAATAACTGACACAAACAATCATATCATCTTTTAATATATAAAAAAAGAAACATTTTAAATTTTAATTATTCTTATTTACAATTTACAACAGTATATGTAATAACAGTAAAACATTTTCAATCCTAAAAATGTATAAAATAGCACATCTGGGTTTGTAAAAGGAATGAGCTGGGACTGTTAGGAGCTTTACATTCAGTCAGGGACTAGAGATGTGTTCAACACGGTTACAAGAAATACATGAAACATGACGACCGTACGGCAGATATCAGCGAAAAAACACAACGGAAAACACTGGAGTGAAAGCCCTAGAAAATATTTGCTTAGTCAAACACCACTGGAGTTAATTAAGGTCACTGCTTCTAAAAAGGCATATTTGATAATGTGATAATGTACCTGTAGTTCTTCAGGTGTGTGAGTGTGTGAGTGAGTGTGTGTGTGTGTGAGTGTGAGTGTGCGTGTGCGTGAGTGCGTGTGTGTGTCTGAGTGCGTGTGTGTGTGTGTGCGTGAGTGTGTCTGAGTGTGTGTGAGTGTGTGTGTGTGTGTCTTGAGTGTGTGTGTGCGTGAGCGTGAGTGTGTGTGTGTGTGTGTGTGTGTGTGAGAGAGAGAGTGTGCATTTAACTGTTTCCCCACCAAGGTTTTTTTTATTTTATTATTTTTTTTTTTAAGTTGCCAGCCACCGCCGGCATTTTTGATCATTTTCACAAAACTTTCACTTATGATTATCTGAGCATGCAATATGTCAAAAAATAAATCTGAACCTTTGCTTTTAAAAAATGAAGAAAAAACTAAAATGGTTTTATTCTAGCTTTATGCATTTTATATAAACTCTTGAATGTGCGTAAGTTTAATTAAAAAAAAGCAGCATTTTGAACAAAAGGTTGAGAAAATTGCGTTTTTGTAAAAGACTATATTTGGATCAGATTTGATGGTCAGAACAGATGAGAGTAGATCGCTTCCATCAACACCCACATAGCTTCACAGCCCTAAAACACTTCTTGGGTCGACATTTCATTCAGTAACTTTAGGCAGTTTTGATTTATATTCTGTTTAATGCTTGAGGATCACATTATTTTACATATGCATCTGCTTACATATGCGATCGCTTGTTTCTGCTTCTTCACCTGTGTTTTAATCCAGAGATTCAGTACTCTTTCAGAAGATGTGTAATAGCTCCCCCTACAGTATATCAGTGAAAACACAGAAATCTGGAGGGCTCCGTCGATGGCGGGGAAGGAGTTAATGCATGGGATGAAGTGTGTGTGCTGACCTGCTCGTTCATGATGGCGGAGAGCTCGGAAGTAAGATGTATCTTGACTTAAGAATATTTAGACATTTGCAGCGAAAATAAGACAAAAATACTGACGAAGGACATTATTATTTTGCAGTGTGATCGGAAGGTACAGTAAAAGTTATTACTATATACTAGTGTTGGGTAGCAAAGCTATTTAAACCGTTTGTGTGTGTGTGTGTAAAATGAAATCAAATGTAATGGAGATAAAAATTTTCACACTTTGAAATGTTGCTAATTCAAGACATTACATTTAGAGACCATACTGATCTGTGTTTCATTCAGTTTATTTAGGACATATTTGAGAACTAATTTTGCATGAGAATGAAGGACATTCTGACGCAGTTATCATGGTGGCAGTAAAATAACACCATAATAACATTATACTTTGCGTTCCTTGATGTAGGGAACAATGAGGTACCTGAAGATCTCTTTCAGGAGTTTGACTTGGTTGTCTGGGTATTTCTTGGCGTTCTTCTCCTCGAGGAAGGCCCGGGCGTAGGCCATGGGCCCAGCATTTACCTAAAACAACATATGAATTCATGAAAATAAATCCCTACTTCACAGTCCAAGTCAAGATGCTAGAATAGCTCATGCTATTATGGTAAAACGGCAAGTTTAGAAATGGCTAGATACTGTTGGGAAGGTTACTTTGGAGATGTAACCGGTTACAGATTACAAGGTACCCTATTTAAAATATAACAAGTAGTGTCACTATTTCAATTACTTTATTAAAGTAATGTAACTGATTACATTTGTGTATTTTTGATTACTTCTAAATTAAATTTCTAAATTGTTCTAAACTGTTAATGATTTTCAAACATTTAAAGCAGGAGGGGTTAACTTTACAGCAGAACTCAACACTGATGTCAAAAATCACTTGAATTAAGATTATAATCACCTCTTTTTACTTTGAGATCATTCTAAGGTGAAATGCAGGTTTAAAATCGTAAGATGCCGTTTAATAGATACTGTTTTTGAAATCAAATCGTTGCATAGCTATGACAAGAAACACTGGCATCTAACAATGCCTTGGAAAAACAGTTAATCTTAAGAAATGGAGCATATACATAAAACCGAAATAGGAAATAAAACGGTTATCGAATATGCATGTGCCCTAAACCGCTGAAACACTGGTGTGTCATAATTTAGAGCAGTCAATGCAATTGAAGAAGAAAATCAATCAAATGTGACCCTGGACCACAAAACCAGTCATAAGGGTCAATTTTGTGAAATTGAGATGTATACATCATCTGAATGCTGAATAAATAAGCGCTCCATTGATAGGATGGGACAATATTTGAAAATCTGGAATCTGAGGGTGCAAAAAAAATCTAAATATTGAGAAAATCATCTTTAAAGTTGTTCAGATGAAGTTCTTAGCAATGCATATTACTAATCAAACATTAAGTTTTGATATATTTATAGTAAGAAATTTACAAAATATCTTCATGGAACATGATCTTTACTTAATATCCTAATGATTTTTGGCATAAAAGAAAAATCAATGTATTTGTGGCTATTGCTACAAATATCCCCCAGCGACTTAAGACTCCAGGGTCACAAATCTGTATGTGTGTGAAAATTTGTATTCATTAACATTTTCATAAGTAACTGTAATTGAGTTACACATTTTTTCTCAGTAACTGTAACAGATTACAGTTACTTTTATTTTGTAACTCAGTTACATGTAACTAGTAACTAGATACTTCCCCAACAGCATCAGAAGATCTGTTGTGCATCGCTCACCTTCACGCTGACGCTGCCCTGTAGTTTGAGCTGCAGCCGGATCATGTCCACCTCCTCCATGCCGCACAGCTGATTGAGCTCAGACACTTTGCGGCTCATCTCGTCGATCGCCACCTCGATGGGGTTCATCTCTGTGCTCTGCTGCTCCACCACCTCGATACGCTTCTTCAAGAAGGGAAAACCGGAGCTCGCTGCAGAACAACACAGGCAGCAGAGATGGGAGTTAATGGGCCTGTGACATCCAATATTTGCCAGGTTTGCAAAGAAATAAACCGATATCCATCGTTTACATTATGTTTTGTGGTCAGAAATGCAAAACGGCCATTATTAGGTCAGTGCTTCTGGCAATGTTTTCAATATATTCATGCATGCATTAACAGCAGGCAGTCCATACGGTATATGGGACGCTGGAAGTGCCTGATGGATTTTTACAGTACAGTACAGAAGAGTGGTTTCATGAGTTGGAAAGGGGCAAGTTAAGGGTTTGCAATTATCCAGTTCAGCAACGGCTTATGTCCTAACAGGAGTAGGAAGACAGAGGAAGAAGGTGTGTGAAAAGTGCGTGAAAATAAACGCAATGCTTGCTGAGTTTCTGCTTGACGGGATCTTGAAAGAGAGGGATGTATAATTCAGGCAGAAGCTCTAGAAGGCTAAAAACTCTTACTATGGAAGCCTGTTTCTGCCACAGGATAAAATAAAAAGTACTTTTTATCTCACCTTTCTGACTTTTTTCGTCTTGCGAATGTGCATTTATATCTCACAATTCTGTCTTTTGTTCTTGTAAATTTTGCTTTTTTTCTCAGAATAGCAAGAAAAAAGAGAATTTTGGCATGCAAAGTCAGAATCGCAAAATACAAATACAGAATTATGACTTTTTTCATTGCAATTCCAAGTTTCTGACTTAATATGTCGCAAATCTGACTTTCTCTGAATTCTGTTTTTGTTTCCACCACAAAATGTAAATAACAAAGGTAATTACAACCTTAATTTTACAATTCTGACTTTTTTTTCTTGTTCTTGCAAGTTCGTCTCACAATTCTGACTTTTTTCTCAGAGTTACGACATATAAAGTCAGAATTTCAAGATATAAACTCACAATTCTGACTTTTTTACTTGCAATTCTGAGTTTAAATCTCACAATTCTGACTTTTTTTTCTGCAGAATCCGAAATCTCGCAAATCCGAGTTTATATGTCTCAATTTTACAATTCTGACTTTTTAAAGTTTTTTCTTGCCATTGCAAGTTTCTCACACAATTCTGAAATTTTCTCAGAACGGCGGGGAAAAAAAGACAGAATTTTGACAAATTCAGAATTGCAAGATGTAAACATTCCAGATATAAACCTGATATAATCTGAGATTTTTTGTATATAAACTCCTCACAATTCCAAGAGTTTATATCTTGCAATTCTGACTTTTTTCTCAGAACTCTGCTTTTTTGTTTCCACCACATAATAAAATGATAAAGGTAACTGCAACTTTTTATTTCACAATTCTTACTCTATAGCTCACAATTCTGAGTTTATATCTCGCGCAATTCTCACTTGAATTGAAAAAAAAGAGAATTGTGACAAAGTCCCAATTACTTTCATAGCTTACAGCACCATTAAACAGTTTTCATAAGATAAAAAGGTCTATAAAGGTGTTTTCCTTTCGTGTCAGTTTTGATTTAATGTTATTTTGAAGTGCCTCACTGGTCAGGATGGTTTTTCTTTTGCACTGCTCCTCCACGTCTCCATGTTTTTTCCCAGAAAGCGTGAAGGGTGTCTCAAAGACAAAGTGATTGATGTTGTGATGGCGCTCAAAGTCGGTCTTCTTCTCCAGCTGTTCCTTCTCATTAAAATAAGGCACTACGTAGGTCACCTGGATGTAGGCAAATCTGGGGTCCAGGTCTTTAGGATTCACCTGCGAAAAAACACACAGTAAACAACACTGTCATCCTAGTGACTGTAAACGAGCTTCACCGTGATTCAGATGTCCAATGCCAGTTTGCGATATCAAGAGGTATAACAGCATATTCAATTTACAAATAGATGCACCTGCTCTTATGTTAAAAATAAGGTGGATAAAACAGCTTTTGCTGAAGCCCAATTGTTAACACAACAGTCAGTGCAACACTCTGTTAAAATGACAAAGCACAATGAACTCAGCTTCTGTAATGAAGGTTAACATCACATTTAGATGTCTCTGTCTGAAACTCAACTTCATTTACCTGAAATCACTCACAATGTACACACACAGTATAAACGCTCAGGATTAGATCAGCAGAGGAGAACGATCACGTCCAGGAGAAATATTGTATCAAACCATGTGTGACACACATATCATTAGCGTGTAGGGAGAGATTAGGAGAGTTAAGAGTGAGAGCAGAACAACTTAAACTAAACTTACCACTGCCTGATAGATACACAACACGCAGGAGAGAACAGAAGAGTGTTTAAACACACCAAGAGTTATGGACAGTAAATATCTATTTGCCTTCATTAATTAGGATTAATAAAACTTGTTGAGTGAACTCATACTAGCCATGCTCATTTGAGTCCCTGCATACTTGTTATTCCACACTAATTTGTATTTACTTGTTTACAGAGTTTTTTTTCTCTTCCATTTGACAATTTTAAACTCTGTTAAAGTTTAAGGCCCATTCACAAACCAAGACTGAGTTCTCACACCAAAACTTGTTGCAAAATGAGTCCAATGATCGCTATGATTAATCACATTTAATCATAATATTAAATCAAAATAAATCATATTTGAGAAAAAATGTAAAAAATAGTTTTTTCAGGCTGGTCAATCTTTTTTTTTCTTTCAGAGTGGCTATGAACTTACAAAATAACATAGCTATCACATGTTGACATTAGCAGATTTATTAGTTGAGCTTTTCTTTGTAGAGATTAGTGCAGATTTCATCAGATCTCCGAAGGACTGCAGAAATATCAGGTGACAACTGCACTTTTGCACTTTTCATAAAGTATGACTTCCATATTTTAATTAAAATACGAGTCCATAATCCATAATAACACTTCCTCCAGTAAAAAGTGCATCTGCTGTTGTCTCTCACATCAAAATCCAGCCACATATTTGTTTAGAGCTGTTTAAACGCTGCTTGATCTTGACTGTAAATCTGGTCCTCCGAAACGGCTTGCAAATAAAATCAAAACTATCACTATTTTTGCAATTATATTTGATGGCACAGAAGATACACGCTATAGTTTTAACCCTTATTGACCTAATGAGGATTTTATTTTCCCCAAAAATGCTGGTTAATGTACACACATTGGACTAAAACTAAAAACAGACTTTGCTCAAACAGGGAATAACTACTTCCCCCCCAAAAATTATATTTTTAGCACTTTTTTGGGGATTTGTCCCCTACCTTGTTACACTTGACTGAAAAAAGCATAATTTGTGGATAATTTTGGCAATGCTCACTCAAAAACTGAGATCAATCAGGCCTACGATCAATCAGTAAAATAAAATAAATACCGAGATTAACAAGCAATTTTTTAAAAGGCCAGTCTTTTTTTTTTTAACCAGAAATACCTAATTAGGTAAAGGATTTACAGCACAGCACAAGGGTTAAAGTGTTATCTTTGCTAAACTCTCACTTTGAGCGGCGTGTCTCCATTGGCGAAGTTGTTGATGATGGCCAGAGACTGCTGGAAGCGTGAACCACCGATACCTGCATCAGCGATCAGCTGACTTACAGATTTAATCACCTGGATGAGAAGAAGACAAGAATCCAAATCAGTTTCTCACATTCAGTCCCAAAACCAGCCAGAAAAAGCATATTGTCAGTTATCTTCAATACAAGACTGAACACATACACCATAAGACACACGAATACAGGTTTATTCTGATAGTCCACTCCAGAGATTCTACTAACTATAAGTAACTTTGTAACTCCATGTCATCTAGCAGGCATTAGAGTATTAGTGACTTTCTGCTTAATATCTGCTAACTCTTCATTTTGATGGACATTCTACTGATTGAATGTAAGTTTGTAAGTACATGTTAACTTATTCTACATGTAGTGGTGAAATAATGAAAGTTAGTTGTAATGCACATCGACATTCAAAAGTTTGGGATATAGTATAGTCAGACATTCCACTGACTTTAAACCAACTATATTGCCATTCAACAATTTGGGATCAGTTGTTTTTGTGAAGTCTCATTTGCTCATCAACGCTGCATTTATTTGATCAAAAATTCTGAAAAAAACAGTAATATTGTGAAATATTATTACAATTTAAAATAGCTGTTTTCTATGTGAATATATAGTAAACTGTAATTTATTCCTGTGATCAAAGCTGTATTTTCATCATCATTACTCCAGTATAAAGTGTCACATGATCTTCAGAAATAATTCTAATATGCTGATTTATTATCAGTGTTGAAACAGTTGTGCTGCTTTTTTTTTTTGGAACCTGTGATAGTTCTTTCAGGATTCTTTGACAAATAAGAAGGTAAAAGGAACGGCATTCATTCTAAATAAAAATCAGTACATTATTATTATTATTATTTTTAAAGAAATTAATACACTTGTTTTAAATTGATAAAAAGTAATAGAAGGCTTATATTGTTAGAAAATGTTTCTAATTTGAATAAATGCTTTTTAACATTTTATTCATCAAAGAAAGAAGAATCCTGAAAGAACTATCACAGGTTCCAAAAAAATATTAAGCAGCACAACTGTTCCCAACATTGATAATAACTCAGTATATTAAAATGATTACCTGTGATAGTTCTTTCAGGATTCTTTGACAAATAAGAAGGTAAAAGGAACGGCATTCATTCTAAATAAAAATCAGTACATTATTATTATTATTATTTTTAAAGAAATTAATACTCTTGTTTTAAATTGATAAAAAGTAATAGAAGGCTTATATTGTTAGAAAATGTTTCTAATTTGAATAAATGCTTTAACATTTTATTCATCAAAGAAAGAAGAATCCTGAAAGAACTATCACAGGTTCCAAAAAAATATTAAGCAGCACAACTGTTCCCAACATTGATAATAACTCAGTATATTAAAATGATTTTTGAAGGATCATGTGACACTGGAGACTGGAGTAATGATGCAGAAAATTCAGCAAGAATAAATTATATTTTACTATATATATTTTTGATCAAATAAATGCAGCCTTGATAAGCAGATGAGACTTCTTTAAAAAACAACTGATCCCAAACTTTTGAAAGGCAATATAGTTGGTTTAAAGTCACTTATAGTCAGTAGAATGTCTAAATATCGAATATAAAGCATAACCCAAATACAGACACCCACTGGCAGCAGAGTAACAGAAGCCTGACCTGCAGGTGTGAGCGGACGATGCATTTGCCCTTCGTAAACTCAAAGTTCCTCCTCATGAGGAAGTAGAGCAGCGCGGCGGCTTCGGTCTGAGTGGAGCTGGAGCGATGGTTACAGCACTTCAGGATCTCATAACACAGACTGCCACACAGATCCGCTGTACCCAGGAAAACTGTGGACGGGAACTGAAGAGGAAGAGCGTGAGAGTCAGAGATCAGTACAGAGATCTGCAGGGCTCAGTTTCAGTGTTGACGCTCTTTAATGAACCCTCCAAAATCAATATTATGTTTATATTTATTCATGCATTAAGATAAAAAAGTTACTGGGCACAATGTATTCAAACCTAAAACCTTTGCCTGCACAATATGGTCACTTTTACATTCGGTACACAGTGCACAGAAATTTCTTACAGGTTGTGAAACTGAATTTTGCATTATAAAGCATATAGTTCTGTCCTTATGACAATAGGGTTATTTAGATGTTTTACTCGTGAAACCAAGAGAAGATTATCATGACCATCAGTCTGTAAAACTGCACCTGTCAAAAAACACAAAACCAAATTGTAATTGTGTTCCTCTTATTTTTGGTGTGGTGGCTTAATTCAAGTAATATTTCATTTATGTGTCTCCACAAAAAAAAAACACTTTCAAGCATCCTAGTTAAACCTCCAGAGTTTTCCACTGAGGTAAAGATGTTAGAATTGTACTAACATGACTAATATTTCCTTTGGTAGGTTTTGGTCTACTAAAGGGGTTCAAATACACCGGAAGACAACCACAGGTGAGCTCAATAATTACAAAAAGAAATATAACTGCAAGCAGCAATGAAGTAATTAAGCCATTTTTTTAAGCCACTAGTTAGCAATTTTAACTAGTGACATGGAGCGTGTCCATAGTGTCATTGTGTTGCCTGCTAATGACGTCATAACCCCTCGATTTCAGGTTTTGTTTTGTAGAAAATATGGAAACACCAAAGATGCTTTAATATGTTGTGTGTTTTAATAGACCGGTGACGACTGCACAGAGTAGCATTATAACAGAACTAAATGTATCTAGTAAGATAAAACAGCGCTGCTTTACCCCACATACGGTCAACAGTATTTTAAAAATGTGTGAATGTGCAAACTACAAAATAAACTAAATAGCCTTTTATTTTCTTTGCAACAACAGAGACATGTAACAGGGTTTCTGCAGGTTTTATGAAGGTAAATGTTAGACTTTTTAAGACCAGGTAAAAAATAAAGAATGGAACACATTATGTAAATATGTTTCTAAATGCAAATGTCTTGTATTGGCAACACTTCAAGGTTTGAAATACAACTTCCAATTTTAATTAATTTTATTTAAAAAAGGCCTTATGGCTTGAATAGCGCTGCTCCCTAACACTAGAGAATGGAAATAATAATTGTTTTATGAGAAAATTATCAAAATGAAGTGAGTTTGTGATTAAAACAAGAACAAATATCTACCAATAGGCTCAGAAAAAACAACTTAATTAAAAGAGGAAACAGGTTTTAATATCCCATTGACAGACAGATCTTGTTTTATGAATGTCAGTGGAGAACAGGACAACTAGATGAGCCCCAGAGACAGATCCCCAGTGAAGACCTCGTCTCCTAGATGGCCATTGGGACAAGACCACGGGAACCAGATGAGTCCTCTGCACAATCTGACTTTGCTGCAGCCTATTAAATGGCTGGATTCGTCTGGCCAGAGGAGAACTGCACACTATTTCGACACACTATTTCCCTGTTTAATACTTTAAAGCTGCTTTGACACAATCTGCATTGACTTGACTTGACTTTTAGGCATAAACTCACTTAATTTTGTTAAATTTGTTCAGAAAACAAGACTTTACATCTTCAGTTTGAATCTCAGGTAAATGTAAATCTTGACTGAAAGGGTTAGCTCACCCAAAAATTAAAATTCTGTCATTAATTACTCACCCTCATGTCGTTCCAAACCCTTAAAACCTTCGTTCATCTTCAGAACACAAATTAAGATATTTTTGATGAAATGTGAGAGCTCTCTGACCCTTCATAGACAGCAAGGATATTACCACGATCAACGCACAGAAACGTAGCAAGGACATCGGTAAAATAGTCCATGTGACATCAGGGGTTCAACCGTAATTTTACGAAGCTACGGGAATACTTTTTGTGCGCAAAGAAAACAAAAACTGCAGATGGAATGAGGAGGTGAAGAATTGTTGAATAAAGTCATTATTTTTTGTTTTCTTTGCGCACAAAAAGTATGAGGGGTGAGTAATTAATGACAGAATTTTCATTTTTGGGTGAACTATCCCTTTACTGATGTTTAGATGTTTGTACTGGAAAACAAGACAAAAATACTGAGGAAGACTCATTTTTTTGCAGTGCATGTCACATTTAATGATTTTATGAATTTAAGACTTTTTAAGGCCTTATTTTGTGAAAGAATGAATTAAGACCTTTTTAAGACTTGCAGAAAGCAAGTATAAACGATATCAGGAGGTGAATGAGACAGGGTTGCTGGATACAGACAAAAATGGTTCCCACACTATGGATGTAACATGATGATGTTTACACAGGACGGACCCACTTTATATGAAGTGTCTTTAAGCACTAACATTTAAATGAATCATTTAATACAAATTGCACTCACTGTATACATACATGCTTTTTACATCGTACTTACTAGTGCTGTCAAATCGATTAATCGCATCCAAAATAAAAGTTTGTGTTTACATAATATATGTGTGTGTACTGTGAATATTTATATGTACAGTGGGGCAAAAAAGTATTTAGTCAGCCACCAATTGTGCAAGTTCTCCCACTTAAAAAGATGAGAGAGGCCTGTAATTTTCATCATAGGTATACCTCAAGTATGAGAGACAAAATGAGAAAAAAAATCCAGAAAATCACATTGTTAAAGAATTAATTGGTAAATTACGTGTATATATTTAAGAAATAAATGTAATACGTTTATTTATATATAATATAAATCATATATAATTATGAATACGTAAATATTTCTTACATTTATACATGTATGTGTGTGTATTTATATACATATATATATATATATACACACATATTATGTAAACACAAACTTTAATTTTGGATGCGATTAATCGCGATTAATCAATTTGACAGCACTAGTACTTACATTTTAAAATACCTGCATGGAATTAATTTCTGTAGTTATTACACTATTATTACACTGTTGATTCTATCTCTACCCCTTAATCCACTCTTAAACCTAACCTTACACCAAACGCATCCCTAACCTTCCTCAACAGCAGCAAAAGTGAAACATGAACACAATAAGTACACTGTACCAGACAATTAATGTGTTACACAAGTACAGTTAAAGACACCTGATATAAAGTGGGATTAATGTTTTGTGCATGTGTGAGTGTGTATTAGAACGTTATATTCAGGGTTAAAAATCATTTAGCTAAGAAATGCATTTATTGCAATAAATTAATTCTATGCATTGCACACTTCGTGTTTCACTCTTAGAAATAAAGCTTCCATGTAAACATTTTGATAATCTAAAGAACCATTTTTCACTATAAAGACCCTTCTGTGCAATGGAAAGGGTTCTTCATGGAAACACAGATGTCAATCCAGAAGCTTTATCTTTAGGAGTGTAAGTGGTTTTATGAGCTCTGTGTGGACCTGTTAGGTGTTTACCATTGGGGTAGGAGCCCTGAAGACTGGCAGGACACGTTAGACCCCTTCAGGGTGCCATTGTTCTGTGTGGCCTGAGCCAGCTTAACGGCGGCCGCTAGCTTCCTGCGCACACAACGAGCCAATTAGAGCAGGGTTAACGCCAACCTTCATCCTCACAGCCATTACAGACAGGAAAATGAAAGCCAAGCTTCTCGGGCAGTGTTTCAGAGCAGGACAAGTCAAGTTTGTATGTTAGATGCTGCTGGTGCTGTCAACTTTAGAGACTGCTGTGAGAATGTGAAGTTATGTGTGGAAGCCAGACAGAGGACAACATGAACGTGGGAACAGAGAGCGTGATGAGGATTAAACACGCATCAGAATACAAAGACAACATATGACGTGGGAATAAAACAGGAGTTAATTTATAGGTTCATATAGGCTGTTACTCATTATATAGCACTGGTAAGCAGTTGCTCTAGTTTTAGTTCCTGCTAAGAAAAGCCTTTATCTATGTGGTAGACATTTCAGACACCTGAGCAAAAATAGTCCAGACCTGTTCCAACACACAAAAAGCAGTTACATCATGCAACTTGCTATGGACTGCAAGTACTGTGAATTAGCTTTCCAAGAAATGCTTCATAAAGCTTTGAAACATTCCTTCTCTCGCTCCCTCTTACAAGCACATATACAATCAGGAACAGAAGAGAAGAGAAGAGAAGACCCTTACATTCATCCAGACGCACCGGAGCACACATAAAACACATCTAACTGAGGAGAGATCTTACCTGGCAATGTGACGCTTTCCAAGGAACCGGAAGTGTTGGAGACAGAGTCTGTTTAAAAAAAAGAAGTATACAAAATAATGAAAACACAAAAGGATTTGATTCCTTCTTTCTTTTTCATGAACAGAGTCACTCACTCCAGGATATTGAAGAAATCGCTGATCTCCTGGTGGATCGCTCGATGCCAGTATGAAACCAGCACCTCTGCAACACAGAGAGCACATCATCCTCACAACAGTGTATTATGTTACAGGTCACCATGCTACAGCATGAGATGTGAATATGTGCAATAGACATGTTCTTCCGAGGTTCAGTGATTTAAAGTCTCACCCTCTGAAATGGTCTTCATGATGTGCAGGAAACATATGAGCAGACTTCTGGTCTCCGCTTGATCCAGTTTGTCAAAGCGTGCACCAAACCCAATGAGAGACTGCGGCCTGGCAAACTGAATACAGCCATCACAATCATTCTCTTGTTACATGAGAAAAATCATTCATTCATTCTGTGTGTCTGTTCTCTTTTATTCTGAGTTTCTGTTTTTGTTCATGTGTTATATTGGCTCTATCTATCTGTCTGTCAGTTCATGCACTTGCTCACCTTTTCACATCCATCCATCTTCTCACTATTGCGGTCACTGTTGCTGGGGTTCGACTCGATGCTGATGAGAGAGCCTCTGGAGTCTGCATTGTTAGCTGTTGATACAGCCAATGAAGAAAAGGCTGGGAAAAAAGCAAATCAGTATGTGAAAGACATTTTGTCTTAGGAACTTTTATTTTTTAAAGGATGTTTTCTTCTGTACAACGACAGTTTTGTCGTTGTGATATCATATTCCAATCATGTTCTGAAAGCATGATAGATTTGTGTGAGGAATAGATTATGAATAGAGGGTGACGGTCTAAACAGCATCACTGTACCTGTAATGGAGTTGAGCACTTCCTTGGTTAAGGACGCATCCATCGAGTTCCCATGGCGTAAAACATGGGTCACCTGACCTGCTAAACCTACTCCGACACTAAGATCATCTCTGGAACCCTGTAAAGGAAATCTTATTACTCATTACTTACTAGGCCTCATGAACTGCTTTTGTTTTTTACTTTAGTTTTGTACTGTTCCCTGAGGTGCACTTATAATGTCATCAAGAGGTTCACATAAAAAAAAACATAATTTAGAAGTAACAGGCTATTTTCTGCCCTGTTTTGACTCCCCTCATTGGAACGCTCTGTTTAGCCACACTATTACATCATAGAGTCATATATTCCACAAGCTGTCGTTTTGGCAGACTGGCTTCAATATAAGCTGTTTTTAGACTAATGAGAGAGTTTTGAGTTCTTAAACTTACAGGATGTTTTTATAATACAATGACCTCTTATGCATCAAAAGATCAAGGGAATTTTGATTTCTCAGTTTGTGACACATTTAACAATCACCCTAATGGGAGAGAAGCTGATGTAATTTCAGTCTAAAATAATGTTTTTTCCAGTTTTTTTTAAGCCTTGAGGTTGTGAAAGTGCAGATGCATTTTGAATTTTGTAGTTTTAGTGAAAAACGTTTATAAAGTATCCTGTTTGATCACAATTTTTTTAATATTCTGACCATGTAAGTGTTTGTGTTCAAGGCTGTTGAATCGGATTCCTGCTCCTTTCCTCACTTCACTGTTACCCAGCACAACCAGAGGAAGGAGTCACTGCCAACGGACTGCTCACCCAACAACACAGCTCTTTGGTCAACTGGTTAATGTAATGGACTTTAAAGCGTCTCTGCAAGTCTTCTACCAGACTATGTCATGCTAGACTGCACCTTCACCCCAAGAAGTTGTTCCTTGAAAAACAATGTTCCTTGACCATGTGGTTGTGACAGATGGTGTAGCAACTGACTCTGAGAAGGTTGCAACAATGGAGAGTTGACTGTTTCCGAAGCACACAGCTTCCCGGTTTGGCCTCATGTTACATGCATTTTATTAGGACTTTGCTTCCATCACTAGTGATCTTCATCGCACTGGCACTGGTTCACTAATGACTGTGAACACCAACACCAGCAATATTTGGGCTGGCAGGAATTCAAGCATTGCAGCATCCACCCCTACCTCCAATAGGGCAATAAGTGCAGTTATTCTCTTTTGTTGTGTTGGTAGCAGGGCTCTGAACCAGTTCAAGGATTGAAAACAAAAACCGGTAACGAACAATTTTGACAGGAACGTAACCAGAAACAAAATCAAATTTAATAGTTCAGAACAGAATCGAAAATATGAAATGGCCATTAACTGGTTAATAATTATTAATTAATTAATTATTTTATTGTTCCATTTAATATTTGAATTTTGCAGTCAACCAATCCCCAATTCAAGTGGTAAGGCCAATGCAAATATTATGCTGATGCATCCAAGGAGTGAAATGCATCAGCTGTGAACTCATCATAGGTAAGTCGCAATGGCAGTGCCCTGGTGTTAGTTTATCCGAGGATGTCACGAACCGCCAAGCATTAGGCCTACATTTTAGTGAAAATGAATGGCAGGTAGGCTAATATGCAGCTTGTTGTGTGTTTTGAAACCAGCAAAAATGGCAGGATAGTGTATTAGAACATGGATTCAACAAGGTCACGTAACGCACCTGCAGCACTTCTGTGAACGGAGAAAATAGAATAAAACTATATACATAAAAAGGAATATATAGGCCTAATACACTCATGATTCACTTAAATCATTAACAGATTAACAAAACGAAAGAAAAAAATGTGCTGAGTTTCGGTTCATTGTGATGCGATTCAAAGTTCACGGAAAGGAAACCGAGACGGCAGAAAGCCGTTTTGTTCATTTTGCAAAAGCTTTACAGATTTGAATGATGTTTCACTTCTATCTGTGCGACCAACCAGCATTGGTATGACCATAAATTACGAAGTAACAGTTGGGAAAACAATGCAGTGATCGCGCCGGTGCCTCACACGCACTTACCACATATTTTTGGTAACTTGACATCACAGCCTGTTCATTATCAAAATAAAATACACAGTTAAAGAAACATAAAAAGTTACATTGCTCAATTTAAATAGTCTGTATACACTCTGTGCTGTTCAGTGTGACCAGCGTCTCACTGCTGATATAGCCGATGTGAAGGATGATGTTTTGCCTCGATAATGCGAGTTATAGTTTAATGCGATATTTTTATTTAATGCCATGTCAGCATCTCAGGCTATTTTAATGGCAAAAACGATAAAAAAAAATACAAGTATGATAATGCAAGTGAAGAACAAAGCCTATAGTTCACATAAATAATATTTTAACATCCAGATACGTCACGAATATGGAAACATTTGGATTCGTGCCGAATGAGAGAGGGTTCAATTTCACTTTAAAGGAATTAATTTAGGCTTGATGTTTATATAGTCTAGCCTAAATTCTGTTAACTTTAGAGGATTTGTTGTGGAGAGAAGGGAACTAAAATAGGCTAGTTGTGTTAATGTTTATAAATTTGCTTTATTTACCGGTTTTAGCCTACAATATTTCTGAATGTAATAATAAAATGCAACATACAGCCTACGTGACTCAGTCTGGTTTTAAATCTTTACATAGTACAGAAACTGCACTGTTGAAGGTTTTTAATGACTTGTTACTTGCTACTGACTCAGGGGTCTACTAGACCTTTCAGCTGCATTTGATACTGTAGGCCATAAGATCTTGATTACACGCTTAGAACAATGTGTTGGTATTAAGGGCACTGCGTTGTGATGGTTTAGATCCTATTTGTCTGAAATTACTTTCTCAGTTCGTTTGGGAGACTTTGTCTCCTTAACTGCTTCTTTCACGTGTGGGGTCCCCCAGGGCTCCATTTTGGGGCCTATTCTGTTCTCCCTGTACATGCTCCCCTTAGGACATTTTTTTAGGAAATTTGGTAATTCTTTTCATTGTTATGCAGACGATACGCAAATGTATCTGCCTTTAAAACGAAAAGATACTTGCTCTTTAGCGCCCCTATTGCAGTGTCTTGAGGAAATTAAGGCCTGGATGGCACTAAATTTCCTTAATTTTAAAGAAAATAAAACAGAAGTTATACTGTTTACACCGGGAGGTACTTGTGAGTCATCAGATTTGGACCTTGGTGAATTGAAACCACTTGTGAATCCCTATGTAAAAAATGTAGGTGTTATCATGGATTGTGATTTTAAATGGGACAAACAGATTAACTTGGTAGTTAAATCTAGTTTTTTCCAATTGAGACAACTCACCAAGGTGAAATCTTTCCTGTCTTCTAAAGACTTTCAAAGAATCGTTCATATTTTTATTTCAGCTCGTCTGGATTATTGTAATGGCATCTATATAGGTATTAGTCAGGCCTCTCTCTCCAGACTGCAGATGGTCCAGAATGCGGCAGCTCGCTTGCTGACGGGTACATGAAAGCGGGAACACATCACCCCCGTTCTCGCCTCTCTTCACTGGTTACCGGTCCATTTTAGGATTCAGTTTAAGATTTCGGTTTTAAAATCTCCTAATGGTTTAGCACAGGGCTGTCCAAACTCGGTCCTGGAGGGCCGGTGTCCTGCAGAGTTTAGCTCCAACCCTAATTAAATGCACCTGAACCAGCTAATCAAGCTCTTACTAGGCATAGAAACTTCCAGTCAGGTGTGTTGAGGCAAGTTGGAGCTAAACTCTGCAGGACACCGACCCTCCAGGACCGAGTTTGGACAGCCCTGGTTTAGCACCTAAATATCTGTCCGACTTGATCAAGCTGTATGCTCCACTAAGAGCACTAAGGTCTGCTGACCATTTGCTTTTAGTTGTCCCACGAGTAAAGTTGAAGAGCAGGGGTGACCGAGCATTTGCAGTGGCGGCCCCGAAGCCCTGGAATAGTTTGCCCCTCTACATTAGACAGGATCAAACACTGAGGATTTGTTGTGGAGAGAAGGGAACTAAAATAGGCTAGTTGTGTTAATGTTTATAAATTTGCTTTATTTACCGGTTTTAGCCTACAATATTTCTGAATGTAATAATAAAATGCAACATACAGCCTACGTGACTCAGTCTGGTTTTAAATCTTTACATAGTACAGAAACTGCACTGTTGAAGGTTTTTAATGACTTGTTACTTGCTACTGACTCAGGGGTCTACTAGACCTTTCAGCTGCATTTGATACTGTAGGCCATAAGATCTTGATTACACGCTTAGAACAATGTGTTGGTATTAAGGGCACTGCGTTGTGATGGTTTAGATCCTATTTGTCTGAAATTACTTTCTCAGTTCGTTTGGGAGACTTTGTCTCCTTAACTGCTTCTTTCACGTGTGGGGTCCCCCAGGGCTCCATTTTGGGGCCTATTCTGTTCTCCCTGTACATGCTCCCCTTAGGACATTTTTTTAGGAAATTTGGTAATTCTTTTCATTGTTATGCAGACGATACGCAAATGTATCTGCCTTTAAAACGAAAAGATACTTGCTCTTTAGCGCCCCTATTGCAGTGTCTTGAGGAAATTAAGGCCTGGATGGCACTAAATTTCCTTAATTTTAAAGAAAATAAAACAGAAGTTATACTGTTTACACCGGGAGGTACTTGTGAGTCATCAGATTTGGACCTTGGTGAATTGAAACCACTTGTGAATCCCTATGTAAAAAATGTAGGTGTTATCATGGATTGTGATTTTAAATGGGACAAACAGATTAACTTGGTAGTTAAATCTAGTTTTTTCCAATTGAGACAACTCACCAAGGTGAAATCTTTCCTGTCTTCTAAAGACTTTCAAAGAATCGTTCATATTTTTATTTCAGCTCGTCTGGATTATTGTAATGGCATCTATATAGGTATTAGTCAGGCCTCTCTCTCCAGACTGCAGATGGTCCAGAATGCGGCAGCTCGCTTGCTGACGGGTACATGAAAGCGGGAACACATCACCCCCGTTCTCGCCTCTCTTCACTGGTTACCGGTCCATTTTAGGATTCAGTTTAAGATTTCGGTTTTAAAATCTCCTAATGGTTTAGCACAGGGCTGTCCAAACTCGGTCCTGGAGGGCCGGTGTCCTGCAGAGTTTAGCTCCAACCCTAATTAAATGCACCTGAACCAGCTAATCAAGCTCTTACTAGGCATAGAAACTTCCAGTCAGGTGTGTTGAGGCAAGTTGGAGCTAAACTCTGCAGGACACCGACCCTCCAGGACCGAGTTTGGACAGCCCTGGTTTAGCACCTAAATATCTGTCCGACTTGATCAAGCTGTATGCTCCACTAAGAGCACTAAGGTCTGCTGACCATTTGCTTTTAGTTGTCCCACGAGTAAAGTTGAAGAGCAGGGGTGACCGAGCATTTGCAGTGGCGGCCCCGAAGCCCTGGAATAGTTTGCCCCTCTACATTAGACAGGATCAAACACTTGCTGTTTTTAAATCTAGCCTAAAAACTTATTTTTATAGTCTGGCATTTGACGCTACATGAGAGCTGCTTTCTTTTATTGTCTTTATGGTGTCTTATTGTCTTCTTTTGTGTTGTTGACTGTTTGTATCTTTGGTATTTTTATTCTTTTATGTGTGTACAGCACTTTTTTTTCCTTCTATTTTTAAGCCCTGGTTGGTAGACTACAGGGCCTCAGCGCTGCTCTTACACACCTTCCTTTAATAGGTAAGAAGGAAACTGGGATAGCATTTAAAAATGTAGTATTCTACATTTATGTAATGTAATGTTGGTAGTTTCAAAATTTGTTGTGGTTATATGGGGTGGCCTGGATGAGTGTGACTTGAGATGAGTGTGTCCTTTTTTCTTTTACCTTTACATTGCTCTTGGTAATACTTGATTCTAACTGAACAACTGTGGAATTGTTAATAGTAAATAATATCATAATAAATATTACTCAAGTGTAGTAATGAAATACTTTACACCCCTGTTAAAACGTCAGATCTTGCTCAGCTGAGGCGAGTTCTTGATAAAAATATAAGAACAAAGCTTCTTATTATATTTCATTTCAGTTGATAAATGAGCATCCTGAGCATGTGTACCTGGTCACTGGCCGTCAGGCAGATTGGAAACAGATCTCTGAGGAAAAAGCGAGGCATGTTGTCAAGGATCAGACCATAAAGTGGCAGGTACAGAGAGGCTATCCGTGCCTGTTTCTCCTACACACACAAACACAATACAGTTAAAATCAGTTCCCAGACTAACATAAATGGTGCACAACAACTATATACTTTAAGTGTTATCACTGTCAAAATTCACCTTTATGGCATAACGGGAGTCCAGTGAATGTTTAGCCATGAGGTTCTTCAGGCAGCCCAGGGCGAGGTGTCTCAGGTCTTGCTCGTCTTGCAAAGCGAGCCCCAGCTCTCTCATCAACAATCCTGTGAGAAAATGTTTCCTGCAGAACTCTTCCGTCAAATTATACTCTGGAAAGTCCACTGAGAAATAAAACAGAGCGAGAAACCACATACTTGATCACTATGCGCAGTGTGACAATGCATTTATTTTGTGAGTGAACATGTTTACGGAGATCGAATATGTATTTGAGTTGTCAGGTAACCTCATCATGGCAGCACGATGTGACTATATGACTGGAGTCTTGCTATACGCTACAGAATATGCTGTAAGTTATTGAAACTTGAGAGCTCTAACGGAGGAGAAGATTTTCTGTAAAATCAAATTCAATTTATTTGTCATACAGTGTTTGACACAAAGACTTGGAATATACTGCAGGAGTGCATCTTTCAACAGATACTGAGAGCAGTAGAAGGACACTGAATCACAAACATAAAAAAGATTGTCCTAATAGATCAGCTTTACTCAACTGGAGCAATTAAACTGCAGCGATATTTTAACTGGACTCCTGTACTTTAAATGTTGAATGTTTTTGTCCATACTATGAAAGTAAATTGAGTTTTAAAAAGTTAACGTACAGGTAATCCAAGTCTTCTGAAGCTATATAATCACTTTGTCTCGAGTCAAATACAATCACTTTGTCTAAAAAAAACAAACAAAAAAAACGATTATTTAGTTTTAAATGAAATCAGTGTCATGATCCTGTGTTTTTGTGCTGTTGGTTTATGTAGTCTTTCAATTTTCTTTTCTTTTTTTCAGTGAACTGATCTTCTCCTTCAAGTACATGATATTTGTACTTCATCCACTCATACAGATATGAGATTTTCCAACCCGTTCTCACTCCCAGGGTTGAATTTTATTATCAATCAGACTGAAAACTGCATTAAACTGCCACAGAAAACTTTACAAATAAGTAAAATAAGTTCAGTAAAAAACACTTAATAGTTACCCTGAGCACTTTGGGTTTCCGGTGATGCCTTGTCTGACAGAGAGAAATGAGACAGACAGAAGATCAGGGGGTGTGGTCTACAGTATGCTAATTAGGAGTACAATGCAAGCGTGAAGTTTTGCGACACATGAGACACAAAGAGGTGGAGCTCGTGGTGCTCCCTGACCTGTGATTCGTGCAGACGGGATGGGAAGACTCAGAAGGACATAGTGCTCATAGTTACACACTTCCCTTATGAACTCAAACTTCAGCTCACACAGCATCTGGAAAAACAACATTTGCACCCAAAACACGTTGTGCACACACACACACACACACACACACACACACACACACACGGTTCTTTAGTGATAACCTTTGCGACACAGAGACGGTCAATTAATTCAACAGCCAGAAAAAAACACAAATAAATTATACATAAATACATGTCAGTCATTACATAACAAAAGTTAATCGTAACCAGGATCTTTTAATGTGTAGTGTCACTGTTTTAATGCTATAGACTTTGAGCATGCAAATACTGCATCTTCTTACAATGAACAGGATATGATCACATTCTAGGGCTTGTGCTTTCACAAATCGGAAGCTTTGACATCTGTGCTGTTTGTATTAAATCAAGAGGTCAGTCAATCACGTTCAGATCCTCTATTTTTCACACATGCTCACGTCTAGTGTTACGAGAGAGATACAGAAAAGTGAGAAAGTTTAGCTCAGGTACCTTATTGTCACTGGCTGTGATCATGTTTATGTAGTTGCTGATCAGTTTGAAGGTGAAACCTCTGTCCATGAATGTGAAGCACCGCTGAGGACGGGAAATGCATATCTTTTAATTGATCACAGAAACAAGTTTATAACATTATTATGAACTATTCAGGCTGTCCGATTTCAAATGCATGTACAGTACACTATCACACACAAAATACATAAACTTATTTATGTGCATTAAAATTAGTCCTGCATCTAATTTAATTATTTACTTCATTATGCACATATTTACAACATTTAAAAGTCTTAATTATCTCAGTTGTAGTGTGCTGTGTGACCTTCACAAAGGCCGCTATGGCCATATTAGCGCTGCGTGTCTCCTCTGCCAGCTCTTTATTCTTCCAGAAGATGTGATCGGACATCGTCATGATCAGGGTCTCCAATCGACTCTGGAAAGTGCCAGGAAATCGCTGCGGTCGAGGAAGCTGAGCAAACACATTTGTTACGCATTTCTTATTAAATAAACAAGTTTAACAGTGTGAAAGACACAGAAGCAGCTCTGCGCAAGTCACTTGATGTGCAGAAAAAACGTCTCAAAACATCTTTTATTTATTCGGTTTTATTCAGATTTGTTGGTTATATAAGGAAAATGGTCACAGCTGCAGAAAATTGTGAACATAGGTCAAATATTACAGGTGCAACAGCTACAAATGAGAGAAAAAATTCTGTGGAAAGTAAAGTCTGAGTATTTACAGCAATACAGAGTTTAGGACTGTATTGAGCATTTATAGAAAACCCAGTTTGATTGATAAACGCTTATCTAAATCACCAAGAAGCAAGACAGTGCTACTAATCGTGTATCTGGTGCATTTTACATTTAAGCTTATGTCAAAAGTTTATTTAAAATCAAACCAAGAGTCCTGAATGTGGTCACACTTTAGTTTGTGGAGCATTTCTCACTATTAACTACGACCTTTGCCTTAATAAACTCCTAATTACTGCTTATTAATAGTCAGTAAGGTAGTTAAGTTTAGGTATGGAGTTTAAGGATTAAGGGATCTAAAATATGGCCTTGCAGAATAATGCATCAAGATGTGCTTTACAAGTACTAATAGTAATATGCATACTAATAAACAACTGAGAATTAGTCCTCAAACTATAGCGTGACCCTTATTATAAGTCATTATTTTAGGCTGACCGACTATTGTTGAAATTACAACAACAACAAAAAGAATAGGATGAATAAAGCATGAATTCACGTCTGCTGCCTCAATATTTACCTTAAGCTTATTTGAGTCCAGCAGATGCTGCGCCATCGACTTCACTATGATCTCGAGAAGGAACCACGAGAACTGCAGGGAACCCAACAGATATCAGTCGACAGGCTTAAAAACAGTCCATGACTTCTGTAAGAGAGAGGTGGTGATGTTAGCTCACCTTGAGGATATTGCGTATGATCGACTGGTCGTTGCTCTTCAGGTCAGAGGTCATGCCCTTGGCCAACTCTTCGTGAACCGTTCTGAAGCCACACGCTTCAGTCTTAAAGACAAACTGAATAAACAAAAGAGAAACACATCCGACAGGTTTCCACAAGAACAAAAACAAAACCTTTACCGTCTCTGCACCAGCAACTTTATTTTCCCTGCTTGATCATTTCTTCAGATACGTCATATGTCGATATGTGCATTTGAAAGAAACTGGATTTTAAATTCAAGATTTTTAAAGCTTTAAAATGTAAACTGCAAGAATCTGGCTTCAACCGTACCTAGCTATTGGCAGCAACATGCATGAGTGAAATGATACATCGGCACAGTTAGGATTGTGCCATATAATGTACCTTTATGTAAGAGTGCAAATAGTGGCCCAGGTTCTCCTCGTGGCACTTAGCTAAGATGTGGACAAGGACCCTGATGGAAAAGAGGTTTACATGTAATGTTAAAGTGAGAGTTGTTGACTGAGTGCGTTCAGAAGAGCGCGTGATGGGTTTTGTACCTGGTGGTGCTGGTGGACACTTCGTCAGTGTCGTTTTGAGTGAGCACTTTAAAGAGCTGGTTGAAGATAACAGGAAGGAAGCGAATTATGACATGAATCCTCTCCATACTCAAGAGGCCCTGAGAGCACAAAAACGAGTTCATATAAAGATATGGACTGAATATTCACCTAAAAACGTTGAGGAATTTTCACAGGCATTATTCAAACATATTTGTGACCCTGGAGCACAAAAGCAGTGTTAAGTCGCTGGGGGATATTTGTAGCAATAGCCAACAATACATTGTTTGGGTCACAATTATTTTCTTTTATGCCAAAAATCTTTAGGATATTAAGTAAAGATCATGTTCCATGAAGATATTTAGTAAATGTCCTACCGTAAATATATCAAAACTTAATGTTTGATTAGTAATATGCATTGCTAAGAACTTCATTTGAACAACTTTAAAGATGATTTTCTCAATATTTAGATTTTTTTGCACCCTCAGATTCCAGATTTTCAAATAGTTGTATCTCAGCCAAATATTGTTCTATCCTAACAAACCTTACATCAATGGAAAACGTATTTATTCAGCTTTCAGAAGATGTATAAATCTCAATTTTGAAAAATGGACCCTTATGACTGGTTTTGTGGTCTAGGGTCACATATGATGAATATTAGTTAAACAATACCTACACATAATTTTCAAACTTTAAAAATGTGCATTTTGATTTCACTTAAAAAAAAAGAGAGAGAGAGAAACAGTGTAGAATAGCAAAACACACAATATATATGCGTTGCTTAAAAAAAAGAAGCCTAAATTTAAGCAAATCGCACAATTTGGTCCCTGACTTTAACTGGATCTTGCTCTTAAGTGGATCTTGACTTTACGTAAGACACATTTTGCAATCAGCTACATGTCTGTCTCTGGATAATATATTTATGAATATGTATAAAATGGGTTGCATTTTTAATTATAATTCCGTTTTGACAGATTTTCAGCCCCCAGTTAAGGCTTACTTTAAGGCAGTTGAGGAAGTTTGAGGTAGGAGCTTGAGAGAGGTCTGCCTCTCGTTTTTGGCACTGCTGGAAGAAGTGATTTAGATGGGGGTCCTGCAAAAAAAAAGACCCACTGGAATTATGAAATCACAAAACATGAGCAAGATAACTGTAAATTTTAATCTGAGACTGTGGCTCTTTTTAACCTGAGTATAAACTGTAGAAAGCACCAAAGTGGACACTTTGAAGATCGGCTTCCCCCCATCGACCCACTTCACATCCGAGCCATTCTGCAAGAAAAATATGAAAAACAAACTACTATATCTCGCATGTGAATCATCATTATTTGTCTTTGAGTCTCCTGTTTTGAAACATTCCAGGACTTTTTTTTTTATTCTTATATAACATCAACATGTATTAATAGGCAGTGTTACAGAAAGTTACTTTTAAAAGTAATGCATTACAATATCGTGTTACTCCATAGAAAGTAACTAATGGTGTTACTTTTTATGGAAAGTAATGCATTAGGTAACTTTTTTTTCATTTGGTGTTACTTATTTGCAAAAGTAAATTTTAAAGTAATGCATTACTTTACTAGTTACTTGAAAAACGTAATCTGATTACGTAACTCACGTCACTTGTGATGCGTTACTGTTGACGGGTTTTAGGATGGGTATAAATGTACATGACATATGTCCAAAAATATATTACATATACATATACATATATATTTGAATGGGCTAGATATACAGTATATGTTAATATATGAAATTATTCCAATTTCTTATAGGTTTCATATATGTTTTTACTTCATATGACCACATACTTCATATATGGAAGTGTAATATATGTACATATATTACATTTGCATATGGGGCTACAACAAATATAATTTTTGCATTCCCATTTGCTCCAACATAAAAAAAAAATCCACAACTTTCCAAAAAAAAATATCGAGAGTTTCATTACATTGGCCAGAAGATAGAGATGTCAAATTTGCTATCACTATATTATAAATAGTTTTTATGTAATTGAATGCCAAGGTTATATAACACAAAGTATAGAGATATAAATGTACATTCATTTTTTGCTATAGATTTATGATGTTAATAACTCTGGAAGCTTCATTACTGTCTGTGAAAATGGTCTGTTCTGATTTCTAGTTTATGTGACCTATAAAAGTTGCCTTTGAATCACTTCTATGTCTTCATCCTTACTTTATATCTTCATCATCATCATCATACTTATATCTGTATTCATCTATTTTCTTTTTCTAAACTGTCTGTTTCTATGTTTTTCTGGATTCTCGCACTCACTTTGGTGGATGAGGGCTCTTTAATGTGTAGATATCCACCAGGCAAAGTGCACGAGACTGGAATACTGAAATCCTGAGAGGAAACACGTCCATCCTTCAGAAGAGGCAGCCATGCATAGCCCACTGTAACATACACACACACTGTCAGAGCACTATACACACACAAACACACACACTGTCAGAGCACTACACACACATAAACACACACACTGTCAGAGCACTACACACACACACACACACACACACACAGCACAGGATAACGTGCATGTGCAGATACCTGGAGTCTCAAGAGCCTCTTTCTTCTTAGAGCTGGTCTTGGCATTGATGTCACAGGTCACATGATAGAAGGAGAAGAGTAAATGGTGTTTCTCATGAAGATGTGTGGGCAGCTCAATCTTCACCTGAACAAGCATATCATAACAAACAGTAAAAGACCCATAACTTTCATCGTAACCTGCAAAAGCTGCTAAAGCACTTGAAAAGAATATTTTGCAAACCTCATCACAAAAGTCTGGGTTCTGTGAGTGATGCAGAACTGTGGAACAGGCAGTCGTGGTAAAAACTAGACCTCCTGGCTTTCCGTAGATGCACTATGGAAATGGAAATGGATTTACAGCATTTATATTATATCTGAAAGCAGATGTTGGTGGAAACTGATGGAAACTTGTGTTATGTTACCTTAAGTGGCTTGGCGTGTTCTTCATCAGAGCTTCTGAACTCCACGTAAACGGCGATGTTTCGAGCCTAAAACAAGAACAGACACGGCATGACTGTACACTGCATGTTAACGAACGAAGACCAAAACAATCTAAACTGAGCACATCTGAATCCTTCATTAGACCTCAAGCAACTTCAGCATGATCAGTCACTCCACAACGGCCGGTCAGAAGTTAAAACTTAATTGTGGTGTAAAATATTTAAGCCAGTACTGCACCAATAAAAAATGGTTTCAGCATAACTATTAGGGCTGGGTAAAAAAATATCGATATCTCAGTTTTAATCGATTCTCATTTTTACGAAATGATATTGATTCTTAAATGCCAAGAATCGATGTCTAGCCTGTTTTCAGTTAATGGACGGAACATTGAAGGGCACTTGCCAAGAATCGATGTCTAGCCTGTTTTCAGTTAATGGACGGAACACTGAAGGGCACTTCCCATCCAATAAATCGCAATAAGAATTGTGCTTTGGTACTTTTAATATGAAACAAAGTCTCATATTTCAAATTATGTCCATTGTATTGCAGTATTCAAACAGTAAATGCCGTTTTGGCACTGTTTAATGTGAAGTGACAGATCGCTGTAGCGCCTCAGATCAACAGACGCATGTGAACTGATCATCTCCTCCACATTAATACCAGATTCAACACAAAATAAACATGACTAAACATCCGAAGGTAAGTTAAAAGAAAGAGTACAACTTTACAATCCATATCCTGTCTCATGTAATCGCTCAATCAGTGTTTCAGCCACGCAAAGACGTCAATATAACAACTTGTATGTCACGCAACGTCACATTTACCTCAGAAAAACATATTCGGTGACCATAAACTCATTAATCATATGGAAAAATAAACTGTAGAGAGGGGCATTTTGCTAAATATATGCACCATATAACATACGCATTATAAGTTTTACTGTTCTTCAGTGTTTAATTTGTTTCAATAAATCTGTCAAGTTTTTATGACAGCCACCATTTAAATGTTTGTTTAAAAAAAATTAATTGAAGTAGAAATATTATTATGCAATTTTAACTTTATTATTATGAAAACTTCATTAAGTGTAATTTAAGCAGTTGTACAGCCTAAAAATCAGTCAATTTTAACCTTCAATATTATAGTAATGTAGTACCAACTGACTCTCATGTATATTTTACAGCATTAGTTGAGAGATTTTTATATGCATACAGTATATATATATATATATATATATATATATATATATATATATCAGGTATATCTAGAATGCTAGATCTCCGCTGTGCGTCAGGCGGTTCTTTGCCTCTGTCATGACGAGAATACTTAACGATGCATGCATTAAATCATTTAGCCGTACATTACATAAATGACAAAATAATTATTCTGTATTTTTCGAGTTAACGGCTGGTTTATTTATTTACTTATTTGTTTATTTATTTTTGAAAAATGTAAGAAGAAATTGAACATCTGAAATGACATCAATAAATAATAATGATAATAATAATAAAATATAGTAGAAAATATATATAATAAAATATAGCCTATATAAAAAAGATATACAAGTACTAAACTGCTTAGTCAACCTCAGTGGCGCAGCAAGTCAGCCCCGGGCCCATATGCAAAAAAAATTCTACGCCCCCCCCCAAACATTATGGGCTTCAACTCGGTTAACTTAACTTGGGCCCTATTGTTGATTTTTCTGAAGTAGATAACGTTATGTGAATCGTGACTATTCACAAGCTGTTTTACGGTAATGCTTGGAAATGATGTTTAAAGTTTTCAAGTCCATTCATTATTTGTAGCACGCAAGCCACTCAATAATCTCAGCTTTGTGCTTTGTTCCTACAAAATCTCAGTCTTCTGTCAATTCTATGATTAAAATACAAACAATAAATGTGTTTTTACGCTCTTTAATTTGTAGTGAGATAATTCGCCTCAGTTCAAGCGGCATATGAATCAATGATATTTTCCTCTTTAATATTTGCAGCACTAACTAAACATGAATATTTGAATGCATGCATCAAAAATTCAGAACAATTTAATACAAACGAATGTCTCATGAAATCGATCAATCAGAGTTTTAAAAAACATCAATACGTCTACATTGTATTGCTGTTTTTTATGTTAAATGTGAAAAATGATAGATGCCACAGACTTTTTTTTCTTTTTTTGGCGGAGTAGCCTATAGGTGGAATTTTCACATTAACTTCACGCAAATATAACAAGTTTTTATTATCGTAATTTTGACTTTATTCTTATTAAATAACTAAATCTTATTTATTTAGTTATTTTTCAACGTGGCACTAAAATGCTCCCGTATGCTACTGAATGCAAACACAATTTTGGCACAGCGGCCCAAAAAACAAACAAAATAAATAAAAAACAAACAAAAAAGTAAAAAATAGTGAGGGGATATTTGAATTATTTGTTCATAAATTAGTGTTTTCTGAATCAATGTCGCAAAAATGAATTTGACGAACCTGACTGGCCATCTCCTCATTGGACTGCCTTTAGCGAGAAATGCCTCTTTACGGATTACATAAAGAAAGAGTTTTTGTTTTCGATTTTAATTATTTCGTTTTAAAATAGTAATTTAAAGCATTATATAGATATATTTATCATGTCGGTTTCAGTTCATCATTGTGAGGCGCTCCTGCTCAAGACCAAGACGACAGAAAGCGCATATTGTTTGTTTTCTTTTTTTTACAAAAGCACAAGGTTTTGTTGATATTGTGAGTGCACACAAATAAAAGTAGACTTTGCAGTTCCGAATGAGGTATACTCTTACCTTTATGAGCAAAAATTACGGCGTATTTTTAAGCTTTCACTGTTATTAAAAAAAAATGCAAGTGATCGAGCTGGTGCCTCCGTGTCCTGCAAAGCGCACTTTAGCTTCCACTCTCCGCACAAGCTATTGGATATGCTAATTTATCTAGGTTAAATGTTTAAATGAATACTGTGAAATGCTTTAATACTGTAAAAGTGTTTTATGTCTATAGATTTTATTTTAGGCAAGTCGTCGTGTTGATTTGAGAAGGCTAAATTGAACAAACATATTTGTATAACTCGTATAACAACATATAACTCACTGTCTGCCGCTGGCCGCTTGGTCGTTCCTTTAAAAAACAAAAACCTGAATTTAACAAACATAAAATGTTCCAAACATATTTCTAAATTAACTTAATAAAGAAGCTAAAAGAAATATTACCACTTTGCCATTAAAAACCCGAATCTGAACTATTTTAATAGCTGTGTAATGGGGAAGAGAGAGAAAGAGAAAAGACATGGGCTCCAGTCGGACTCGGGCTGAGGGAAATTAATTTCCTCGTTTCAATTAAAAGTTCCCCTCGGCTCGGTGGGCCCCCAATCTGCCCGGGCCCATATGCACCTGCATACCCTGCAGACGCTACGCCACAGAGTCGACCTCAAGCGTTACTGTTATGTTGGTCCAAGCGTACCGAGACCTCATTGCTTTCACAAATCACGAGGAAATCGAACCACAAACGGACCCACAAATGAACCGAACCTCCGGAGGTGGTCTGAGTACGGTTCGCTTTTGGGTCCTTTTAGGGGGGTCTGACAGGGAAATTAATTTCCTCGTTTCAATTAAAAGTTCCCCTCGGCTCGGTGGGCCCCCAATCTGCCCGGGCCCATATGCACCTGCATACCCTGCAGACGCTACGCCACTGAGTCGACCTCAAGCGTTACTGTTATGTTGGTCCAAGCGTACCGAGACCTCATTGCTTTCACAAATCACGAGGAAATCGAACCACAAACGGACCCACAAATGAACCGAACCTCGGGAGGTGGTCTGAGTACGGTTCGCTTTTGGGTCCTTTTAGGGGGGTCTGAGATCACTTGTTTGTTCACATATATGAGCTGAACCGCTCTGAGAGTGTTTGCAGGGCTCAAACAAACTAGGTGTGAAAACACCCTTAGTTTCCAAAGGAACAATCACCTTACAAAGCGAAGAAAGCTTGTACATAGACCTTAACACACAAACCTCAAGAACGCTGACAGTCAACAAATGTAAAAAGATGAGCTCTTAAAATCACAACACAACAAATAACTAACAATAATGACAAAACAACAGAAGTTTAAAAAAAAGTCAGCAAATAGTAAAATAGTAATCCTATAACAGCAACCACATCATTTATTCATGCTGTAATGCATGCTGGGAACTCAATTATAGTCACCAATTCTCACTATTAACTGACTTTTGCCTCAATAAACTCCTGATTAGCTGCTTATTAACAGGAAGGTAGTTGTTAAGTTTAGGTATGGAGTGGATTAAGGGATCTAAAATATGATCATGCAGAAAAAGGCATTAATATGTGCTTTATAGCCACTAATGAACAGCCAATATGCATGCTAATACGCAACTAGTTAATAGTGAGAACTGGTTCCTAAACTAAAGTGCTACTTAAATTCTTCAGACAGCATTTGGAGCACTCTGTTGGTCTGACACGGGCAAGTTTATGTAATTTCAATTCATTCAGATTTCATAGTATTTGTGACTCTAAAGGTCCGGTGTGAATGTGACTTCCTCACCTTTGCGAAGCTCTTCTGGCTGTCATACTTAAGGTGTTTGGGGTAGATGTAGATGTGATTCTTGTAGACTCTGTAAGGCTGGGCAAACTTAGAAGAGTCCTGCAGGAACTCGTCCACCTCCACCGTCGGAGCGTGAAGACCGCAGTCCTCGAACGGCCTGAGAGCCACGTACGAGGACGTCACACAGTCTGAGGAACAAGCATGCATGACGATGAGTGTGTGGCCACACAACAGCCAGCGCTTACGTGTTAAGTACATAAAAACTGAACAACATTTATGAGTAAAATTGCATTTTGCATCAGTTTTGCCTTAAATGTGAGGGTTGTGGTATTAGTTGGACGTACTGGGACATTCCATGGGAACACAGTCCACGTTTATTTCAAGGTTTCCCGGGATGATCTGGAGTTTACTGGCCTTCTCTGCCCTGCAAAAAACACTTGATTTAACTGAGGTCATTTATGATGACGTGAGATTTGTGAGCCTGGAGCACAAAAGCAGTGTTAAGTCGCTGGGGGATATTTGTAGCAATAGCCAACAATACATTGTATGGGTCAACATTATACATTTTTATTTGATGCCAAAAATCATTAGGATATTAAGTAAAGATCATGTTCCATGAAGATATTTTGTACATTTCTAACCATAAATATATCAAAACTTAATTTTTGATTAGTAATATGCATTGCTAAGAACTTCATTTGAACAACTTTAAAGATGATTTTCTCAATATTTAGATTTTTTTGCACCCTCAGATTCCAGATTTTCAAATAGTTGTATCTCGGCTAAATATTGTCCGATCCTAACAAACCATACATCAATGGAAAGCTAATTTCTTCTGAGTCTGTACCTCCTGTACTCTGTGGTGAGCTTGATGAGGTCTTCTGTGGAAATCTTGTTGCTCTCCTGTTTGAAGAGCGGAGAGAAGCGACTTTCCCTGTCCACTGTGCCCTGGTTGTCCTTAAATACTGACCTGGAATATACAGACGGAAGAAATGCTATGATTGAATTTAAACAAACTGTTAATAGTGCAAGAGCTTTGTTGTTGTTGTTGTTGAGCATTTGTTCTGGCATAGCTGAAGCACCAGAGATTTAGGATTCCCTTACCTTACAGACCAGGCAAAAGGCATGCGGTACTTTCCAAGTTTGCTACAGAATTGTTTATTGGTTTTCAACATCTTTTGGACAGTCTGGATGGAACAAGCAGAGAAATTGGAGTTCAATGTATTTGAGAGAACAAAATCAACGAGTAAGTCTCCACTTACTACATAACTTTAATCATATTAGTGCTTAAATCAATATTCGGTGTATTTATCCTTATGCCACATATAAAATCGTCTAAATGCCATTACTTTAGTGACATTTGCAAACAAATGCACAAAGCAAGGTCTATATAAACATGATTGGATGAGTCTGGTGTGGAAGAGCTTGACTGGCCACACAGAGCCCTGATCGTAACCGCATCAAAACCCTTTGAGATGTGCTGGAATGGAGACGATCCAACATCAGTGCCTGGCATCACAAACGTGTTACTGGATACACAGACAAAAATTCCCACAGAAACGCTCCAGAATTTTGTGGAAATCCTTCCCAGAAGAGTGGAAGCTGTTATCCCAGGTAACAAATTTAGGTCACAAAAACATTGTGGGAACATTGTTTTGAAATATTTTTAAACGGTTTTATTGTTATGATTATAACGTTATTTAAAGGTTACAAAATTGTTTCTTACAAAATTTTACTAACTTTATTTTCACACGAGATATAACATTATTTGAATGTGTATTTTTAAGATTCTAAGAACATTAATGTCATAATTAGAACATTATTTAAAGTATTACAAAATACGTTGCAATAACTTTATTTTCACATAATAACGTTATTTGAATGCTTATTTTTAATATTCTAAAAACGGTCAAATGTTTTTTTGTATTTTTTATCATGATTAGAATGTTAATTAAGGGTTACAAAAACATTTCTCATAACGTTCAACTAACTTTATTTTCACCTAAAACATTAGTTGAACACTTATTTTTATTATTCTAAGAACATTCAAATGTCCAAATTTCTTGTCATGATTAGAATGTTATTTAAAGAGGTGGTTGATTGCGATTTCACTTTTTTAACGTTAGTTAGTGTGTAATGAATCACTGAATTGAATGATGAACTGTCTTTAACTGAAAAATGAGTGTTTAGTATTGTCATTTTGCATTATTGACACTATTTTCCTAATTAATGCTGTTCAGTTGCTTTGTCACAATCTGTATTGTTAAAAGCGCTATATAAATAAAGGTGACTTGACTTAATGTTGCCGTTTGAGCATAAACAATATCTGCAAAGTGACAAAGCTGAAAGTTCAATGCAAACGGAGATATTGTCTTTTAAAATGATGGCAGTTTAATGCCTACAAAAAGGCTCGTAGGGACTACAACGAGCTTCTTCCCGGGTTTGTGACGTCACAAACCCTGATAAACCCCGCCCCCGGGAACATGCAACAAAGGAGGCGGGGCCATGCTGCACTGCTTTAGAGAAGAGGAAGAGTTGTTGCCATGCCGTCAAAACTAGGGCTGCACAAAAAAATCTATTCATATATGATTCTGTCTTCTAACGATTCTAATGGATTCACAAGATTCAAAATCAATGTTCTAAAGCAGCGGTTCTTAATCCTGTTCCTCGCGCTGCCTTGCTCTTTATCTCTCTCACTCTCTCTCTCTCTTATTCAGATCATCAGCTTCATCAATCAACTGTGTTCCAATTATACACTAGACAGACAGATATATTTCACATAGCTATGAGAAGCATTAAACATGGACAAGCACGCGGTTGCCGTGGTAGCGAGCAATACTTGCTGCCAAACACTTCTTACTGTTGCAAAAATGCTACAACGCAATCATGTATTCTGCATTGTGTATATATATATATATATATATATA